TTAGAGAAAACTGGGAAAAATGTTTATATAACATGCAAAGCATTCACCAGCACAAAAAAAAATAAATACATTATACATACAGCATCATAAAGTCACCCCCACGACAAACCTTCCCCAATCCTAATATTTACTTAAAAAGAAGATAGTAAAGGATAGAAAATAGTTTTTAAAACGAATTTTATTTTATATTGTGTTCCAGCACTATAACACTGAGAAAAACAGTTATATTAACCTGGGATAATCAGCACTGTGTTTTGTATAGAACAAAGGGCATGTATTTGGCAGAAATCCATGAGGGCAGGTATTTTACTTCTTGTTTTTAACACACTCAAATTATAAGACAGTTAATATTGGCTCCTCATGTGCTCCTTGGTTGTGAACTCTGGCAAGGGTTTGCCCCTGCCAGTAGGGTCCAGGGGAAAGGTGCTTGCAGCACAAAGTGCCACTGTCTGTGATGCTTTACCAGGAGTTTGGGCTCCCAGGATGGAGATGATGCTTGTGCCAAAGTCTTACCCTTAAAATGTGGTAGTGTCTCTCCTTTATCTCATGGGATTTCTGTGAATATGAATTAGAGGATCTCCGAGAGTGTCCAAGGAGCACAGTGGTAAATATTGCCACAGGAAAACCTTGTAATTCAGGCTCTGATAGGTAGTTTGAGAAGCATCCAGCAAGTAAGACATAGAACTGCACCTTGTTAGTGACAAGAATACAAAATAGGGTAGCCACCAATAATGGCATTGTTTTGTTTCATCCAGTTTTGAAGCTGGGCCCCAGCAGAAAAGGTGGAAGGCCTGCAAGTGAGAATTGCACCGTACAAACAAGGGCTCTATGCAAGAAATGCTGCTTGCTGCACAGCAGATTTTATTCCTGTTTTTCTCTGCTTGATTCTATACACTTTAATCCTCTTTGAACAAGATTAACCATTGTTTCAATATAGCTCTGACATGTGTATGCATGTGTCTGTGTGTCAGTGCACGTGCTTGAGCAAGTAGTTTTTTGCAAGTTAGGTGAGGGGGTTAATAGTAAATGGCATGAACAGAGATTTTATCCTGTAGCAGTCTACTAAGATCCAAATGAGTCATCAGGAGGAGTGGAATACTCTGAACCATCCCACAGTGCTGCTTGAGCCATCTGATGGCAATAGGAATTCTCTATTTCAAGCATCTCCATAAACAACACAGTTGTTGGTGATTCCCTCTTTTCCCCTGACAATGCCCTGCCTTGTCAGCACTGTCTATACTTTACCTGCTCCCATTTGCTTCCCCAGCCAAGATTCCCAGGTTTTTTTGCACATTGTTTTGACTTCCCTATTCAGACAGAGTCTATTCCCACCTTCTGCACCCAGCCTGCCTCCTTTGCTCCACCATTCTCTGTCACTTTACTGATGCCCTTCTCCCTCCTTTTCCTTGTACTCTGGTTTAATAGTTTTAGTTCTTCCATACTGAAATCGAGCAACTCGTACCGGGCTGTCTGAATGCCACAGGAAAGACATTAGGAGCAGAGGAGGTTTTGTGGCATCAGGCGGACAGTTCCACCATCCCTTGGAATGACAGAGCTCTGGTGTCAGGCAGGTTTGTCTCCATCTCACCAGCAGCATGGTTTATGAAAGTGAGGGCTTTGTGATTTTCTCTGTCAAACCTCAGGAAGCCCCTGGTCAGTGCACACAAGCTGAGGCTTTTTCACCCTAGCAGCCTGGCCAGAGTGAAGCAGCAAACCCCACCAGGCCACTCCCATCCCAACCCCTGCTCCAAACAGGGGCAAGCAGGAGCTTCTCAAAGAGCTTTCCCTAATCAGGCAGCACGACCAAAGTCTTTGATAGGCTCCTTCTCAGAAAGGCCTGAGATGTTTGGTTGAAGATTTTCAAACAAGGCATCCCCGAGGCACACACCTGGTGAGGGCTGTTTTCTGCCAAACAGTTGAAGTTTGGCAAACTCTTTAACCAACTGAAAATGTCGTCTGCTAATAGGAGGTGTCTGGCAGTCATTCCACCTGGCAGTTATGCCAGCCCCACCTCTCATTTTTTGGATCATTTAATACAGCAGTGAAGAATTTTTAAGGGAGTATTTTTTCCATTAGAATTTAATAATCTACAACCGTGCTGCTTCCTCATACCCCTTTGAGCTACAAATCGCACAGAATTTTAAACCAGCATGTGGAGTTTGGAATCACTAGCCAATTCCCATAAGCTTCATAATACTGGGAAATTTGTAACTGAACGTGTAGGTAAAAAATGAGAAAAAATATACTAAAATTGTTACTTACTTTTCCATCTTGAATACTCTCAGTATACGTTTAATTATTTTAAAAGCATGTTTCTACATGTTCTAAAAATTATTTTATAAACAAGAAATTAAAGTATTACTGCTATGTTCCATCCTTGAGTTTGTTTATAGTATTAGCTCTGACCATGCCTTGCTGCTTTAAACCAGAGAAAAGCAGTAAAGGACATGAAAACTAAGAACATTTTGGTATATGCAACTTTTTTTGTATATACAAAGTTCGCTTACAAGCAAACTTTGTAAGAAAAGAAAAGATTTTACTCACTTTGACTTGAGTATTTATTAGTATTTCTGTAGCTAATAGATTATATCCTCCAAATAATTCTCTAGCCTCTAAAGCCAAACACGTATTTAAAGAACTGGGGCCTGCCTTTCTAAGTCTTTATGGCTGTGGATTACTCTGTCTGCACTTTGTTTATTTGTTGGATGCCAGCTAAAATGCAAAACCCTCAGGTGTAACAAGTTGCTCTCATATTGCATGGCAGAGTGTGCTTTATTCTGGTCTGTGAAGGGATGAAAATGTTCCTGACAGTGGTAGTCACAGCATGACCTCATTGAGTTGCCCAGTGTGGCTTCACCTATTACAAGGATAAACAGATTACAGCCAGTAAAAACTTTTATAGAATGTCAGCAGTAGGAAGAAAAACACAAAACTTTATCTGCCTGATCAGTCCACTGGTGTTTCAGCTCTCTCCAAGTCTCCAAATGCTTTAGAGGAAACGGGAGGACTCTGGCAAGCACACATCTGTTAATATGCAGATGGGGAAAATTGCTAATACAAGTTATTATTATCTAGCAGGTCCTAAAAAGTGGGGCTCTATAAAGGCAGCCTGTCCTTTTCTGTCACGGGGCATGACATTGATGGATGTGCTGAATAGTGCCAGTGGGATTACAGCTGCTCAGGATGAATTTGGTACCATACTGCAGAGTGAGCATGCTGAGGACATGGAGCATACCTGGCCTGATTTGTGCCTGGATAAATTCTGCTTGCTGGAGCCACCCAGCAGGTGACAGCCAGAGTTCATACTCTGCAAAAAGTGGGGGTTAATAAGTCAAATGAATGTGTGCTTGGCTTCACAAAAGAAGGTGCTTTAGTTTAGTGCACAGTCCATCTATTCCACACACCCCCGGCCAAATAAAGGGCCCCTCTGCAGAAGACTGTAAGTGATGCTAAGTAATAACCAAGGGAATTAAAAGATTAAATGGGAATAAACGGCCAAAGAGTCACAGCTGAAGTTCTGGAGGAAGGGAAGGGAAGGGAACGCCCCCGGGCCCCGGGCGCGGCCCCGCCGCGCTGCCGGTGCCGGGCGAGCGCTGCGCGGCTTCACTTCCCGGCGAGCGCCGCCGGGAGCGCTCAGACAACACCGGCCCTGTGGCAGCGGGAGCCGAGTCCTCCGGGGAGACAGAGCCGTCTGAAGTTGGAGCGCTCTGAAAAATGGTTGTTATGTATTTTGATTACCGGACAGAGCGTATTCATTACTCCCATTTCTGCGATTCCACGTGCGAGTTAATCACAGTATTGCAATGGGAAATGTTTTCATGATTTGGAGCACTCGGATGAGTTTAAATTACACATTTCGTAGGACTTTAATTGTAATATCTCTTTATATAAAAAACCTTGTAAATACTCTTTTAACCTCACTGCATGAGATGTACAATTTTATTTTTTTTTGGTAGGGTTTTTTTCCCCAAATGAAAAGCTGATGATGAGCGGATTGCAGGAAATTCTGTTCATTAGCCGTCGGCTGTGGAGAGCCTGTGCCAGAGGCCTCACGTGGTCGCCTACCGACACGCAAACAGCAGAATTAATTAATTAATTAATTAATATTCCCGGCGAGTTCCCGGGCGGCGGGCGCGAAGGGGTTAACGCGGCCGGGTCCGCGCGGGCCTCCCTCACTCGCCCCTTTCTTTTTTCCCCTCCTTAATTAATCATGCGCTGCTCCGCAATTTCAATATGGAGATGGCGAGCAATTATTAATGAGCCCGCGGGCTGTCCCGCGGCGCCTCCGGCCGAGCCGCGGCCGCCGCGCCCCGGTGGGTGTGAAACCTGCGCGCACAAAGGCTCCTCCTCACCGGGAACACGCCCCAAATCCATAAATAAATAACGAGGGAAGGGCTTTTGTTCGTCGCGCCGATGGCACATGACCTTGTTGCTGCGCCGTGCCCCTGCGCTTGCCCGGAGAGGGGAAAGCGGGGGGTGCGGGCGAAGCCTCCGAGCTGGCGTTCCCTGGCAGGAGGCGGAGTGGGGGGGTGGATTTAATGGGAAATAATACAAATAACCCCCAGATCCAGCTCTGCCGGGCAGGAATGTGCACGGGGAGGGGCGGAGGGTTGAACAGGGAAATAGCAGGAGTCGCCGTGGCTGCAGCGCTCCGCCGCACAGCGCAGCGCCGTGCCCCGCGCTGACCCCGCGCACAACATGGCCGTGTTCGCCCGGCCCCGCCGCCGCTCCTCCCCGGCCAGAGGGGGGCTCGGGAGCGCCCGCGGCACCATCCCGCTCCTCTTATGTATTTATTTTTTATTTATTTCTGTTTTTTTTTTTTTAATCTCCTTTCCTCCTCCTGCCGCTATGCCCGCTATCCACACCATGCAGTGCACGACTAGGTAAAAACCCCTGACGGGCAGCAGCTACTTCAGTCAGTCAGGCTGGGGTTTTTTTTTTTGTTGTTTTTTTTTTTTTTTTTTTTGGGTTTTTTTTTTTTTTTTTTTTGGGTTTTTTTTTTTTTTTTTTTTTACGGAGCCTCGGTAAACGAGGAGCAGCGCAAGGTGGGAGGAGGAAGCGCGGAGCGGAAGGGAGCGGGGATGAGCGATGAGGGATAACAAAGAGTCAGGTGCAGCGCCCTCACGGCCGCTCCTGGATGGCTCTGGTCTTTAAGCACTCCCCTCACAATTAAATAAGAAAACGGGAAAAGCCGCGGAGGCAAAAGCCGCGTTTGTGCCGGCAGCTGCAGCGCTGAGAGAGGCGAGTGCATTGTGCGGGGAGCGGGTGGCGGGCGGCCGTCCCACCCCACCCCATCCCACCCATCCCATCCCATCGAATCCCATCCCATCCCGGGGGAAGGCGCGCCTGGCGCGGGCACGGCCGCACCCCGCGCTCGCACCGCGTCCTGCGGCTCCGCATCGGAGCGGGACTCCCAGGGCTGGATGTCGCCGCGGAGCCAAACAAACCGGGAGCAGAGACGGGGATTTCAGCAATGGCGAAAGGGGGGCGGTAGGAGGAGGGGGGGGTAAAAAAAAAAAATAAGGGGATCAGGATATGATAAACAGCACTGAAAAATGGCAGGAGGATAATGTTTACTTTTGAATCCCTGGCCCGCTGCCAGGCTGGCGCTGGTTTTTAGGTTAGCAGAGGTTGGAGGAAGGGCCAGACTGAGGCGGAGCTTGCTGCTGTCAAGGAAAAAAAAAAAAAAAAAAAGGGGGCTGCAAATTGCTGTTCTCAGCTTTTTTCCTCTCCTCTCCTCCACCCCCGCCCTCCCCCGAAAAAAGGCAGTGCTTTCTCTTAGGCTCTTAAAAATGATGCAGAATTTTAACCATCTGCTGTACCCGGAGCTCTTTGCTGGTGCTGCACAGCTGAATATTTGCAAAGGGGAGAATTTGTAAAGCTTTCTGAAATAGCAAACTGTTAGCGTGTAAAATATTTTAGGGAATCCTTTCTTTAAAGAAAGATTCTATTTAATTGCAGACTGAGAAGTGGGTATTAACAGAAGTGAAACGTTTTTAGCCTCCTGTGGATTTTTTCTAGAAGAGACACAGGTGTACTGCTCCATCACAGCTTTGCCAGCGTAGCGTGAGCAGTCGGAGACTCGGGCACTGCACAGTGATGAGAGCTGATCTTCTTTGTAACGCTGTGATTTTTTTTATTTCGAGGCTCTCTCTGGAAGTGTAGATGTAGCTGAATGCAGCAAAGCCATCCCTTTACCAGCTGTGTGTGTTTATATGGGAGTAAAATTATTTAATGAGCAATATGGGGACTGGCAAAGGAGCCACGGAACTGCCACAGGCTCCTGAACCACCACAGTATGTCCAGTGCACAAAGGGAGACTATCACTAAATAATAAGGGATGGGGGAAAGCCTTTTGAAGTGGTGAAGCTTAAAGGAGAAAGTAGAAGGAGTCTTTAATGTGGAATCCTTACTCGCCATAAATTAGATTAACTGTTTAAATGCCATGAACAGCGAATTAAATATTTCAGATGTTCATAAATCAGAATATAATGTTTGTCCGGAGTAAGAGCTAAGAAATTGGAGGTTATTGGCTCATAATTCATCTACATATTTAGGATCAATTCGCAAGTTATAGGGAAAAGAGATTGTAGTGAAATATTTGAGGCATGCAGTTCCTTTGAAAATGCAGTTTGGGTTTTCTCTTTTAATATCTGTCAATACCAGTTTGTTACCTCAAGTCACTAGTTATTTTTTGTAACTTGAGGACACTATTTTCCATAAATGAAACCTCAAATAAGTATTAAGAAAAGCATTTACTTTCTGAAGCCAATGTAGAGGCCTGGCTAAGTTTCTTAATTCAATTTAAATTTATTTTAAAAGGCTATATTGTAGTGCAGATGTCTCATAGTCTGCGTACATTTTCTTATTTGTAAAGCTGAAGATTGGGGCTGTATTTTGTCACCTGTTGCCTACACGGGTCAAAAGGGGCAGGAGGGAAGAAGATTTACTGATCGTGCAAGCTTTTGCAGGGAACCGCAAAAAAATGTTCATCATTTCATTACCGATTGGTAAAAAGCTGCCACTTTTTTCCCCTCTGCTTTTATGTGCCCTAGAAAATCGTACAATATGTGTGCTCCTAACAGTGCCAGAGAAGCATAATGAGGTGTTTAGTCACAGTTTGGATGTGGTATTTGTAGAAAACAGTGCAGGAACTGTGGGCTGGATTTTCAAGGGAATAGTCCTTGTAATCCAAGGCTGCCTAAATCCCAAACTGGTATCCAGGCAATAGCGGCACTAAATTCTCAGTTTGCTTTTTGTTAGGCTCCTGTCTGCTGAACGTTTTCCTTTTCTTGCAAGGACTGCAGCATGGCTGGGCATTTTGGTGGTGGGTTTTTGTTGTTTTGGTTTAGGATTTTGGGGGTTTTTTTTGTTTTCTCTGTTAACCCTTGGATATCTGTCGCTCCCTTTATTGCAGAGCATCTCCATAAATAGGAATGCAGACAGTCTGGAGTGAGTGTGCCTTTCTGATACGGAATTCATGGATGGGAGGGCTTGGAATGGTCAGTCTTTGTTTTGTGGACCAGTAAAATACTAATGTGTTAGCATTTTCCCTTATTGTGTATTTGGATTTAAAAGTCAGTGGTGTGGTGGAGGGCTCCAGTATAAATGGCAGTCTTATCTAATATTCTGCAGTTTAGAGATCAGAGATGTTTTTGGGAATAACCATGTCTGAAAGACTTCAGTATTGATGTACTTTGCAAGTCAATTATACATATTTTACTGTATGTGCAAATATAGCATTTTGCAGGCTTTGGGAATTCAGAATTGTGTATTGGAAACCTGTTAGGATGCAGGACTGTATGGAACTGCAAACACCTCGACTAGTAGTGAAGTGCATCACTTGCTTATAGCAGTGTTTTTCTGTGGGTGTACAATTGTACCTGAATAAATGTGTAGAAGATGCTGGCCTTACAAAATCATTTTGGATTTGGTGTTATTTAATATACTACCTGTAAGGTATGTTGTCATCCCCTAACACACATCTCAACATAACCTCTGTTCTTACTTTAATACTAGTTTGTTCTTTCAGCAAGCATAATAGGATGAATCTGTGAATTTAGGGTATAAATTTAGCTCTAAATTTAAGTAGACAAGCAGCTTATTTTAATATTAATTTCGCAGTCCTAATGATCAAAACAAAAAAAACCCCAAAAGTATCTTGGTGCAGTTATTTGCAAAAAAAATAGAGCTAAAGTTGCTGAACCCTAAATATTGTATTTCTGCTTTGTTGTTGAGTGCTGGAGCTGGTTATTTGAAAACAAGTAGGTTTTTTTTGAGATATGGGAGAAGTTTGCTTTCTCACTTTGAATTCGTATTGACTATTTTCTGGTTAAATAGAATACGAAATGTAGTGTAATTACAGTGTTGTTTAAATAATGAATTAAAGCCAGCAGATGACACAATGTGCAAAACAGTTTATAACAACAATCAGTTTCCAGATAGTTCTGTGTACTGCCAAATTATAGATAAAACAAATTGTATGAAATACTATAAGAGTGAGGACATGTTGTCTGGTACTTGTATGCAGCATCATTATTACCTGTAAGAGTTTGGGTGATACATGAGCCAGGAAAGTCTTCCTTTTTTTTTTCTTTTTTTTTTTTTTTTTTCTTTTTTTTTTTTTTTTTTTTTTTTTTTTTTAATATGAAGTCATAGATCTGCCTGAGTGTCATATCCAAAGAATCCCTGAAGAGACAAGTTCTGGGATGTCTCTCTCAGCTTCTAGTGTGCTGGCATCTATTACTGCTACAAAATATATAGGTTCATCTGAAGATTCTCTGAAAAGCTCCTGTTCTGTGAATTTTTCTGGTACCAGTGGACAACACGTCATATAAAACTCTAAAAAGAGATATCCAGAGGGCTTAGTTCTGCTGTCAGCATAGGACACGTTTTCATTATTTTTTTTTCCTGTGGTTTGAATAGAGATTCAAATCAGGCCTACCAAATTTGTTTGAAATGAAACAGAAAATACAAATATGGGTGTGTGTGTAAATATATTTATTTGTTTCTAATCTGCCTAATTAAATCAGCAATATGGTATCTGATGTCCATTAAAAATATGGGGTTTATTTTGGGGTTTTTTTTCAGTGCCTGACTTGGAAAGTATTTAGTGGTCAGTGGAAAAAAATGAGGAAGAGGAGGGTGTGGCTGCTGCTGGAAGGCTCTGGCCCTGCAAAGGGTCCCTGGCTTGTAGAGATGTGGTCCTGCATCGTCACAAAATGAAGACCTCTTACAGGTAAAACTGAGCTATTCTTTTTTTGTTGTTGTTATTAATCAGAAAACAAGCCAGCATCTAATCCTGCTGTTTCGTATGCCTGTTTCTGAAGCCTGGTCAGTGGCCCTCACTTGAGTTTGGTAGCTTTATTCACATCTTGTTTTGCTCCAGACTTGTCAATTCTTTCCCTAATCAGTCATGACAAGAGCAACAAAAACTAGTTTAAGCTCTGCAGAGTAATAAGAAAAGTAGTTTGATGTTTTGTTTATTCTGAATAGCCAGCGAGGGACTGAGCCTGTATGTGCTGGAGTGGATCTGTACCCACATCTGAATTTTCATTTCCACTCTGCATTGTGCCTTTAGTTCCTGGGCTGGCACATATACACACAGATACTTCTGTTCTATAGTTCTTTATATTATGGCCACAATTACAGCATCATAAAGTCTTGAAATGAGACTGAGAATATTTTCAGGTTACAATTCTTGTGGGATGAAATTTTGACAGTGTTTTAAGCAAAACTGGATGCTGATTTGTTGGGGTTTTTTTTGAGACATAGGCCCCACTTGTTACCAGGGCAATTTGTTAATAATGCTTATTTACAATTTCAGTTTTGACCAGTTGATGTTAAAACTATTTTTATGCAGTGGTACAGTTTTAGCATTCCTTTTTTTTTTTCCTTTGCTGCTGCAAATATAGTTTGAGAACATGTGAGTTCTACTGATACCATAAGTAAAGACAGCTGATGAAATTTCAGTAGTAAAACCACTCACCGGTGTGGTTAAAGAATCTGCTCCCACATCTCATGTCTTATATTTGAGCTCATCATCTCTTAATTATGTATCCTTGTCTTCCTTTGAAGAGCAGCAGTGTGTGGGTTGTGGTGAGGTATTCTCACAGCTTGGGTGAATTGTTAGCCACAAGACCAAAGACTGAGTGTAGCAAACCACTGTATGAGTGGCAATATCCCAGGATCTGACACACAACTTGGACTGTCTTATAATTATTAAATGGGTTTTGCAAATGATGATGCATGGATGGGAAAAAAGATAGTAAGATAAAAACAAGGAAATGTATTTATGTGTTATGAACCAGAGCGGTATACGCAATGTTTGTAGAGTAAAACTAAATCTTACAATTGAGCTTCTTGCTAATTATTTGTGGTGGCAGGGGGAGAGCAGGTGGCAAAGTAAACATACATGTTTTTACATGTTTTTTGACATGTAAATGATGCACTGACAGTGTTGTGTCAGACGCCATAGCCAGCTTAGAGGATGAGGCATTTTGCATTAGATAAAGTGAACTCGTCTATTTTTTTGCCATTTCTTTTGACCACAGAAAACAAAAGTAGGAATTACTGCACTGGAACAGGCCCATGGTGTAATTAATGCCAAATCTACCCTGACATTTTTTACTAAATTGATTGATTGGTAAGAGAGTGAGGTTGACCAGTATCAGGTCCTTTTGGGATACCCTGTCCTTGTCAGAAGTGCAGCAGGCAGGTTGCTTGGCTTTGCACAAAGGTCCGTGTGGTCTTTCCAGCAAACAATCCCATCCAACCCTGCATTTTTGTAGGCCATGAATAGAATCATTCTTGCCTATTCCTGCTGATGCTCCTTAACAAGGCATTGATTTTTCGTATGCTCAGGCTGCACAATGAAAAATAATATATTCCTGTAGTTTGAATTTACTGCTTGTTTAATTTAGCTGAATCATTTCCCTTTCAAGACTGGAAGCAGGTGAAAAAGTCAGACTACAGATCCTGACTTTCAGGCTGTGTCTCTCTGTGTTCCCTGTTGCTTATGTGCTCACTAACATAAATAGTTTGATCACTATAGGGTTTTATATATGGTAGTCTCTTAAAAGTGACATTGTTGTAGACACCTGCCCTTGCACTCCTGTTACTTCTGTAGCTTTAATGAGGAAAGGCTCATTAGCATTCTCCAGGAAGCTGTTTCCCTGGCAGGCCGATATTAGGAGGATAATGTTTTCAACACAGAGCTCTTTTCCTGCTTGACTTACCTGACATTACTGCATATCCCTGAAAGTTTCCATTGATTTCTTATGGTGGCACCCAACTCCTACCCTTGGAGAATGTTGCAATATGATCTCCTTAGCAATTATAAAAAAATATATTTGTTATGTTTCACATTCACTCAGATTGGTTAAACCCTTCCGTAACTCCAGTACTCTCCCCTTGCTTGTCATTTTTGCCACTCTTTATTTTTCAGCTGATTTTTCTAGACATGAAGTAAAATTAAAAACTGATACCAGCATGGCCTCTGCATTCAACAGCTCTTAACATTTATATTGTCAAAGTGTCTTTTCATTTGTACATTTTACTTTTGGCTCCTTAGCTTGTTTTTGATCAATACTCCAGCTTCCAGTAGTGACTATTGTGTTTTCTTTATATCCTTCATGAGTCACATTGTCAAAGCCCTTTTGAAAGGCCAAATAAATAATAATGAATTCTGTGGATGCAGTCAAAGTTTGATAACATAATAAAAATACATATTTTAATGTTGTTTTTTTTCCCCATTATGTAATCCCTGCTCAGGCATTAAAGTTATACTCTTTTAAAGTAGCCTTCCAGACGGTTTACTAAATCACAGAATTCATTGGCATGTAATCTGGATCATCATTTGTGGCTATTTTTGAGGACTGCTATCCTTTCATTCCTGATAGAAAAGTGAAGGTTTTTGTTGGAAGCCCTGCCTCCAACCTTGGGCTGCTTCTGAAATGCTGTGTGTATCCTCAGAATGGCTTGCTTTTAATTTATCCCTTTATTTCAGCATTTTCTGTTTTGCTATCTGCTGTTCTTTCACCCTTTACTTGCAAAAGAATTGATTAATGGGATTTGCTCTTTGAAAGGACCAGAGGGGACAATTTTGTTACTTGAATATCATAGCTTTTTTTGTCTGTATTAAGCTTAAATTCTTTTTTTAGCGTAAAAGATACCCTTTGGTCTGTCTGGTTTTCTGGGCATCAGGAGATAGAGAGGCGTATCTTAGAATATGAGGCAGGGTCAGGATTGCTCCATCCCCTCAGAAAATGGACAGTGCAAGGATTTTGTGTCACAGAATTATGTTTCTTCTGTTTTCCTCTTTAAGAGAAGGGACATCTTATTCCCTCACTTTTCTGAGTGTTGTTTTTGCTTCCCATCGTGGAGAGAGAGTGCTGTTGGCTGGTGTAAATGAGAGCTGAAAAAGAAAGACTAGGAATTTCCACTGGAAGAAGTAGTGGGTATTTTTTACGAATATCCCAAATTAGGAACCCAGCTAACAAGAAATGTTAATATGGTCATACAGGGTGAGAAAAGGCAAGGCTCCTCTTGTGCATAACTAAGTAGCTCAAGGTCATAATCGGCCATTATTTTTTCTGTGGTGTTTTTCATCCTCTTTCTTCACTCCCTTTGTTTCCCAGTACTATTTCAGACTTGCCAGACAATTGTTGTGCAGTCTTCCTGCTTCTAATGTATGTCAATAAATTGTCCTTATGCCGCTGGTTCAGTCCTTATGCTCCCAGTCTCCATTTTTAAATCTTAATGTCTAAGTATATTCTTTGTTCTGGTTGTTTCAGTCCAGTGCTTTTTGGAAAAGGTACCTCTTTGCCTCAGCCTGATACAAAGCTTTGCTCAGTACTCACATTGCTCTTGCCCACCTGCTCCTTCTGTGTCTAGAGATTTTGTTACCCTTTTTTCCTGATGGATACACTATGCCTGCATAATCTTTTGTGCCAAAAAGCAGAGTGTTTCCCTTGAGATAGATAGGAAGGTCTGATGAACATACAACATTATTTAAATACCTGCTGTACATTTTTGCTTTGTCCTGGACACAGCCTTTTCTAAACCTGTTGTTTAGGCTTTCTGAATCCTTTCTCTCCTTGACTCCTGGTGTATAATAAAAAGCCCAATACTATCATATCAGATTTCAGGGAACAGCAGTCACAGGAAAGTGTGTTACTGGATTTGGTTGTTTCAGGCACAGAACTGGGCAGGTGAGAGTTACTCTGAGTGAAAGTCATTCACCCCCCTGCAGTGGGAATCATGCCTATCATGGTGCAGACACATGGTTTGCAAGTTTCTTCTTTACTCTTGGCTGTGTTGGAATCTGCAGTAAGTTTCTGACTCCTACTACTGGGGTGACAAAAGATCAGAAACCACAGGAGCAGGAACTGCAGTGGTAGGTGAACAAGGGCCAGTGCAGGCTGGGTGTAATGAGATCCCAGCTTGCCACACCTCTTGCATTAATTCATGCTGCTAGGAACTAAAAAGGTGAACGTATTGTTATGGATCCAAAAATAGCTATTTGGAACAAAATGTCTGAGAATGGAAGAACACCATCTCAGCCCTCTCCCTGTATGGTTCATGCTGTTTTGTGGGACTCTAGGACCTTGATTTTTAGAGTTTTGGCCACTCTTGGTCCTCTTCTCAAAATTGCTGGTGTTGGGTGATCTCATGGTGATTCCAGATCATTTACCCGATGTGGGGTTTGTGTGATGCTGAGCTCCCTACACCAAATACTTTGATCTAAAGCTTGTCCTCCTTGCCTGGCCTAATTCCTATTATTTTCTTCTGGAAGCTCTAACATAATGTTCAGGTTAATCTGAGGTGCCTCTGACTAAGGATAAAGAAGGAAAATACCTTAGTCTGGACCACTCTCTTCTGTGTGCTCTTTTCCTCCTATCGTGGCTGGCTAACTGATGGTAACATCTGCATCCCAGTGAGCCATATCATCACAGATGAGGAAACCAAGGTACAGCAAACTTGGGAACATTCAGCAGGCCAGTGGATTGGAGGTGAGAATGGAAAGGAGACACTCCAACATGCTGTCCAGCTGTATGTTACCAATGCAGCATTAATTTAACTGTTTCAGGAGATGTTTGTCTTAATACCCATATTAATAATGATGTTCTAAGATAGTAGAAGCTGGTAAGAGAAATCTTAACAGCCGAAAGAAGTGCTTATTTAGCCTGATAAAGTTTAGCAATCAGCATACATGAAATTCCATAGGCAGCATATTTTCAATTTATTTTCCTTGTTCTCCTCTTTACAAGTGAGCCGTCATAGAGTTAGCAATTGTCTACAGCAACAGGCAACTTCTCTGCCCATCCACAGACTACAGGATATTTTAAGAATTTCATTTATAATAGTTACTTGCACTTTTTAATAACCACTTTAAGACCCAATCAATTTTATAAATCAACTCAGAATTTTTCAAAAGGCGATAGAAAATTAAAAAATTGTAATGAGATAAGTTTTCACTTAGAA